TACCTTTTCCTTTTACTATTTAGCATCGGCTATGATGTAGCGCGAGTTTGTGCTTGTAACAGAGACCCTCAGACATAAGCTGGGCTGTATCGATGGTTTCATTCTGAGCTAATGGAACCGGGGAGAGGCCTCCATATTCATCTAAAAAAAGGAACATACATCTCACTTGGGCCCCATCGAGGCCCATGGCCAGCTTCCACGCGTGGAATGTGCGAGGTGTACGAGGGCGACAGGCCTACTGCTAAATGTGCACATGTTCAAAATGTGTAGTTTTAGATATAGCAATACAAATTAAAATGAAAGCAATTTATAAAAAAATTGGATAGCCTAGAATTTTTAAAAAATGTAACTTTGTACTAAATCAACTATACTTATCTTGGGATGGAGGGAGTATGTGAATATAAATGTGTTATTGTCCTCGTGAAGAAATTAAAACCATCCGAGTTGGGTACTTAGGTTTGAGTCAATTCGCCCCAAAATTAAAAATTGAAAGAGGAAAAGAGACATGTCGTAGCTAGCCCATCTGATCGTTCTACAAACCAAAAGAAGAAGAAAAATACAAAACAAAAGAAAAAATGTAATGTAATGACATTCTGATCTGCAGTACCAGAATCCTAGACGTACTCCTATCTAAAAAGAACAATCCTAGAGGCGAGCACGAGAAGAAATGTCATGAGCTAGCTACATGAAACTTATTCTTGGAGATCGGTTTTGCTCTCGGCGACGTTCCCGCCGCTGGCATCCTCTGCTCGGAGTGCAGCTATGAAAAAGCGGCGCACTTGACCTTTCTGAACGTCGCCGGCGACGTTGCCGTCGACAGAGCCAACTCCAGCGGGCAGATCGCATGCAGCCTGTGCAGGTGGTGGCGCGGCTGGTACCTGACCTCCCCGAGAACCCTGAGCTCCAAATGAAAGACCCCCGCCGTGCTCTCCCTGACGAACTCGGCCACCCCTGCGCTCCCCAGCGCGACGCTCGCGTTGTCGGCCGCCGCCGTGGCGTGGTACACTTCCTTGTTCCCCGGTTGTACAAGGCCCCCTGCGCCCGCCAGCCCGACGCGGGCGAAGCGAGCGCCGGCGAAGAGCAGCTCCGCGTGGAGCGGCGCCGTGTGCTGGGTGCGCATGATCCAGTTGTGGTTGCGCACGGCGACGGCGAGCGAGAAGTCGTAGGCGAGCGCCGTGGCCGTGGCGTTCTTGTTGGCGAGGGCGAGGCGGGCGAGGGCCGCGTCCTCGACGGTGACGCCGACGGGGCGCGTGACGAACGCGATGACGAGCAGCGTGAACCCGGTGGCCAGGACGGCGAAGATCACGATAGCACAGACAATGCGGAAGAGTGTCTTGCCGCCGAGGGAATCCACGAAAAACGCGCAGCAGATCGCCTCGATGCATCCATCGCAGATGTCGGAGTCGCCATCGTCACTCATCCCTGCAAATTGTAGTGCGAGGAGCACACACGATCCAGTTTGGCGGAAGGCTCTCACGCGAGGAATGGGTCTGACTGGTTGGCATGTAAGAGCTGCAACGATCGAACAGGCAATGAAATCGGATCGGAGTAAACAGAGACCGCGTGCGTACGCCCACGCGGCGCGGCACTGTACTTGTCAAACAAGGAACGTCCGTAGGCTGCAGACCTACCTTGGGTCCGTAGGTTCAGTATATACTTCAGTTACTCCCATGATGAAATCATATCCACGTCGGATTTGGGACTCCAAAATTAAACGGACCCACGACAATGACCGTGCATCGCTGTAGGCGAAAGGGGAAAATGTCTCAAACACGTTACAACAAGCATTACTAATCCTCGGGTGCCGCAATGACAAGTGGGGGCGGCAGTACTGGAGGATTTCATTTTTTGGCGGTACTCCTCGGGTGCCGAGTCGTGACTTGCAGGGTGAAAACCTAAGGTGTGACCTTTATTGGTTGTGTTTGACAATTGCCTTGCTGAAGCTTTCCCCACGGTGAAAACATGAAATTTTGGATAGGGCGATGACGGCGCTTGTGCACTGTTTTCTTCTCGAAGACATCACTTTTGTAGACCTTTTGTGTTTTCTAGGTGTTGTCTTTAGTGGTATTTTGTGTGTTACTGCTGAGAGGATTTATCACGATGGCGAGACCTTTATTGTTTTCCTTTCTTTTCAGGGTGTGTGCATCTTGGATGTTTTTGAGATATTATAGGTTAAGTATAATTGCTATCTTCACGATATAAATATATTCCTTCTATAAAAATGGTCTTATTGACAAGTGTGATTCCCCCTTAAGTTTTGAAGATCAAATGGAATGTCAAACTGAGGCACCTAACAAAGAGAAGCGAATGATACGATGCCATAGTTAGCTATATTTTATGTTTATATAAAAAATCATTATAATCGGGTCGATGAACCCTTAACTTTCTTTAACGTAATCTTATAATGGATGTAACTATTCTTTGATATCAATAAAGAGAGCCATGATGGACTTCTCTAGAAAAAAGTGCAACACTACGCACATCTCACTCCAATGCATACCACAATATTGTACGACGGAAATTGACCTAGGTGTAGGACAAAATAGATCCTAATCAGCCTTAAAACAGGCATATGTCTCAACCATATTGTAAACTTCATCTCGCCACTCAAGGAAGCACATGGAATGATAAAAATAACAAAAAGAAGGCATTGTAGTAAATGAATATGAACCGGGAGAAAGAATATGTAAAAAATTATTTTCTTTTACACTCGACGAAAATAACATATCCAATTGTTCCTCAGCTCGCAGTACAATAATAATGTTATTTTAGTGTGCATTAATCAAGATTTTGAATAGTTCTTGTAAAAGAACATGGACTCTATTTTCAGTAACCCTCTAAACTTATTAATAAACCCTTTTCAACTTGTTTGAATTCCATAGTATTTTACGTGTAATTTTTTTATGTGGTAAAAAACATGGATTGGTAATTATCTATTAATGTACATCAAATAAATGTATGATAAATGTGCATACTCCTATTTTCTAAAAGATTGCAGCACAAACCTATTTTGCTCTACACGGTGACATACAAACAACATTGTGTATAATTAGAAGATCAGAAGTTTTTCAAGAGTCATCGCTTCAGAGAAATTAACAATAAAGATTGAGCATTAAATAGTTTCCATAACAATCACCAGAACATTCCACCTTTTCAAAATATTTATTCCCACCTTGGTAATTTTTTTGCACTCTTTAGGTCAATAGTATTATAAACTGCATCTGGTGATAGTATGCCAAAAATCTTAGATTAAAATTGCAAAGAGAGCGTTGTCATACAAGCATAAAAATATATTTCAATATGGAGTGAACATAAGACTTTTATAGGTTCAATATGGAGCGAACATAAGACTTTTAGAGGTGGCAATAAAACATAGTTTAGAGAAAATTATGTTGTCCCCAAAATGGCAATTTTCTTTAGCAAGCATGGCTACATCCACCATGTTCTTGTTTTGCCAAGACTTGCTAAAAGAAAACGACATCCTCAGTACAACATAAATTTTCATAAAAAGTTTAATTTGCCATCCCTAAAAATTCGACGTCAGATTTTTAACATTACCAATAAAAAATCTTTAGCGCCTACCATGATGCGTTGAGCGTCTTTCTGAGTCAAAACACCTTCATTGGTCTTCTCTAATCTTCCCCAAATTTCTTTCGTCGATTCAAGTCTTTTATAGGGAATGAATTGTGCTCTAGAAGGATGATTGCAGATGACATCCTTTGCTTGGGCATCCAGTTGCACAAGCCTCTTCCCGTATCAAGTGAGATAACCAAGCATCTTAATCATGTATCCATTTTGCGCAACGTGCCACATATAATCATTGATGGCTTTGATGTGAATCCTCATATTTTCTTTTCAGAAAGGGTAATCTTTCTCATCGAAGACCAGGATCTTCTCCATAGACTTGAAGTTAACTACTGACGACATGCTCAAATCCAAGGTCGCTAGACCTTAAAAAGCAGAGACAAGGATTGCATTGCTCTAATATCAATTATAGGGCCGAGGGTATATCTTCCAGAGGAGGGTGAATGGGAGATTCAAATTTTGTTTCAAAACTTGAACACTCTCATTACGGTACAAGGAAACAAAACTAAAACATGCAGTTCTATGATAGAAAACAGTTCTAGAAAGAAAACATGACAGAACAGGAAACATCTCACATCAAAATATAACTACCAGGACTACAATAGAAAACTGAAAGCACAAGTGCTCACCGGGTGATTTTGGTAATTATTGTCAGCATATCTCTTGTTGGACTAATAGTTTTATCTAGTATATTTCAGATAAGTTCAACAGTGGAGTGGCAATGACAAGAGGATGTGGAACCCTTCAAAATGCTAAGGACAAAGATTGGCAAAATATCAAGACTCGTCATTTCTATTTAAGCGATCCAAGAACACATTGAGTCCATAGGAAAGCCAATACTATTAAAAGGGGATGAGGTGTTGCTTAATGGTCTACTTGCGCAAGTGCTTAGTGATATCACTCCAAAAACCCCAGCCACTTTCTCCATCCAAATATTTCCAAACCCTAATTCCAAACTCGGCCCCACCGATTCTTGTTGGGGAACGTAGTAATTTCAAAAAAATTCCTACGCACACGCAAGATCATGGTGATGCATAGCAACGAGAGGGGAGAGTGTTGTCTACGTACCCTCGTAGACTGTTCGCGGAAGCGTTATATCAACGCGGTTGATGTAGTCGTACGTCTTCACGTCCGACTGATCCAAGTACCGAAAGCACGGCACCTCCAAGTTCTGCACACGTTCGGCTCGGTGACGTCCTCACCTTCTCGATCCAGCAAGAGGGGCGGAGTAGTAGATGAGTTCCGGCAGCACGACGGCGTGGTGACAGTGCTGGTGAAGAACAATCTCCGCAGGGCTTCGCCTAAGCACTACGAAAACTATGACGGAGGATAAACTAGATGGGACGGGGTTGCCGGCACACGGCTTGGTGTTTCTTAATGTCTCTTTGGTGCTAGCCCTACCCCTCTATTTATATGTTGAGCCCTGGGGTCAAAACTTGGAGTAAAAGCCTCCTCAAAGTTGGTTTCACCTGAAAGGCAAGAGTCCTTCTCGGACTCCAGGGCTAGACGCCAGGGTTCCTGGCGTCTAGCCTCTGGTCTCCGCAAAACTTCCTTTTGCACTTTCCCAAAGCCTCGTGGGCTTTCCCCTTTGGTCCAGATAAAGTGTTCTCGTGCCCAAACATTTCGGAAAACATCCGGAACCCCTTCCGGTGAATTTCGGAACCCTTCCGGAGATCAAACACTACTATCCACATATCAATCTTTACTTCCGGACCATTCCGGAGTTCCTCGTCATATCTGTGATCTCATCCAAAACTCCGAACAACATTCGGTCACCAACATACATAACTCATAGTACTATATCGTCAATGAACGTTAAGCGTGCGGACCCTACGGGTTCGAGAACTATGTAGACATGACCGAGACACCTCTTTTGTCAATAACCAATAGCGGGACCTGGATGCCCATATTGGCTCCTACATATTCTACGAAGATCTTTATCGGTCAGACCGCATAACAACATACGTTGTTCCCTTTGTCATCGGTATGTTACTTGCCCGAGATTCGATCATGGGTATCTCAATACCTAGTTCAATCTCGTTACCGGCAAGTCTCTTTACTCGTTCCGTAATACATCATCCCGCAACTAACTCATTAGTTTCAAGGCTTATGGTGATGTGCATTACCGAGTGGGCCCAGAGGTACCTCTCCGACAATCGGAGTGATAAATCCTAATCTCAAAATACACCAACCCAACAAGTACGTTTGGAGACACCTATAGAGCACCTTTATAATCACCCAGCTACGTTGTGATGTTTGGTGGCACACAAAGTGTTCCTCCGATAAACGGGAGTTGCATAATCTCATAGTCATAGGAACATGTATAAGTCATGAAGAAAGCAATAGCAACAAACTAAACGATCAAGTGCTATGCTAACAGAATGGGTCAAGTCAATCACATCATTCTCCTAATGATGTGATCCCGTTAATCAAATGACAACTCATGTCTATGGTTAGGAAACATAACCATCTTTGATCAACGAACTAGTCAAATAGAGGCATACTAGTGACACTCTGTTTGTCTATGTATTCACACATGTATTATGTTTCCGGTTAATACAATTCTAGCATGAATAATAAACATTTATCATGATATAAGGAAATAAATAATAACTTTATTATTGCCTCTAGGGCATATTTCCTTCAGTCTCCCACTTGCACTAGAGTCAATAATCTAGTTCACATCGCCATGTGATTTAACATCAATAGTTCACATCACCATGTGATTAACACCCATAGTTCACATCGACATGTGACCAACACCCAAAGGGTTTACTAGAGTCAATAATCTAGTTCACATCGCTTATGTGATTAACACCCAAAGAGTACTGAGGT